GCCTGATGCCTTTCCTCCCACCTCCACACTTTGGGGAGAGTTCAGCAAACATTTATAGCCACTAGCTGTGCCCTGTCGGAGACACAAAGGTGGAAAGGGAGCAGGGAGGCCTTCCTGAGAGCTGACTGCAGTGACCAGGCAGGGCCAGTGGAGGGCGGCGTTCTCAGGGAGGGGCTTTAGCTGTGGAGCAGGTCACAGCTCCTAGGACCGGGGTCTTAAGGCCTGCCCCAACCTGGTGCTGCCCCCCGGGGACTTTTCCACACCCACAAGCTCAGTCGCACACACGAGATTGCTGAATGCTCGCGGGGGCGGCAGCACTGTTACCCCCCTTACAAACCGGGCTGGGCCAGGAGAGGTGCGTTGCTTGTCCGTGGAGGATGAAGCCAGTTGTGACGCAAGGCCAGGGCTGTAACTCACAAACGCCAGGATGGGGAGGTTGCTGGGCATCAGCTGTGCAGGCCCCGGGGTTTCTGAGCAGGACAGTGAAGGGCCAAAGTCTGGGGAACATATGGGTTCAACAGGTTTCTCTACTCCAGCACTTCGCAGAGCCTTTAACGGACTGTGCGCAAGAGGCTGCCTTCTCTTGGAGAGTCCCCTCTGCACTGGTGCCGGGAAGCTCAGAGGCAAACCTGTGGTAAGCGGGATTCCCTGCGTATCTCGATCACCCACCTGAAATCCTTTTTGGAACAAGGCAGAGCATTTTTCTTGTGTGGTTATTTTCAAAAGTTTGTTTGGTACCAATCACTAAGACTTGAGTAAGCACTTTCCATAATGACATTTCACCTGGTGCTGGGCTGGGGGACTGAGCTCTCTAGGACTGGGATCTGGAATTTGCTGAGCCTTTGTTTTCAGGTCCTCATCCAAGATACCTCCCATCCTCCCCATACTCATGGGAGGTGAGCAAGATCTGCTTACTGTCCCCATGTAAACTGAGGCTGTAGTTAGTGCTATGCCCAAGATCCCAAAGGTAGTATTAGGGCTCATCTAACCACCTCGAGCCAGGCTCCAGGCTGCTGAGATGCCGGCTCAAGAGCATGGTTGCCGTGGCTGAGGCCTGTGGCCTGACCTCCAGCTTCCTGTCTTACTGCCCAAAAGCCCTTGCAGGGACGAGACTGCCAGGGGCTGGTGTGGCCTGGGGAATTCCAGGTGGCGGGCAGTCACTCGAGGATAAAAGCCCCTTCAGTGGCCAGGTGGGTCGCAGTGGATGGAGCAAGGCCATTGTGAGGGTCTGGCCTGCCCATTACCAGGGAGCCCCCGTGCCAGGTCTTTCGCTGCTCTGCCCTGCAGCAGCGGTCAGAGCTGGCTCTGGCCCCATGTGGAGGGACTCCACATGAGCTCCCACTTCCCCACCCTGCCTTGAATAAGCCCAAACCCCATGGCGACTTCTGGGCCTGTGGGACCACCTCCCTGTGGGTCACGGGTGCCATGTGCTTCCCCACCTCAGGGCCTCTGCAAAGGCCGTCCCAGTGCCTGGGAAACAGCCCTGCTCTTGACGTAGCCCACTTGGCCTCCACTGCAGCCTACCTGCCTGTTTCAGCCCTTAGTGTGTCTTCCCACTGGTGTCCAGCTCCCTTGGTAGAACGGAAGCTCTGTGAGTCCAGGCTGGGGCACCGGCACCTGGAGCTCAGTGAAGGCTTGGCCAGTCCCTCTGCTGGGGTCTCGAAGGTGTGAATGGTGACAGGCCCCACTCAAGATAGTTGTGAGGGCATGGCAGAGGACAGTGCAGCCCAGTGCCTTGGAAGACTCTCGAAGGCCCCCCCCACCCCCGGCCCTGCCCCTTAGCACAGGGACAGTTTCCGGCGAAGGCATGAGGGACAGCGAGGCCCACAGAACCAGGCGAGTCTGGTGCTCATTGTCGCTTTCATCCCTCCAGGCAGTCGGGGCTCCAAGCCCCAGCTGCGGGTCTAGGAGCACCAAGGGGATGTGGGGGGAGGCGCCGCTGTCCATACCGCCCTCCAGAAGCACAGGACACAACAAACCTAGGGCCAGAACTTGCTCCGTCTCGCACAGAAGTCCACGGAAGTTTCTGTCCAGTTCGATGTCCACTGAACCAATTGTTCTTCCAGGGCTCACCCAGCCCCTGGCTCCTTCATGTTCTTGACCCTTCAAAAGAAACTCAGAAGCACCTGAGTAATTCAGTCAGTGAACTATTTTATTTTCATGTAAATTACATGTCATTGTTTTCTCTACCGTAGGGTATGTAGTAGTACATGTGAACGCCCTGCAGGATGGCAAGGAGCACGTGTGTGCGTGTGGACCCAAGAGGGCTTCGCCCGCCTTGGCTAAATCACTTGGCTAAGCCAGGAGGGCTGTGACACTTATCCAGGGTTATGCAACAAGTGAAGTATCAGGACTACATCCTCAAGCCTAGAGGAACGAGAAGTAAACACCCAGATAAAGTTAGTGATAGAAATGCAGGCTCTACTGTGAGAGTAGTGTCAGAGCTGGTCTGCATCTTTCTCTTCGAGCTTCCTAGCAGCCAGAGCAAAGAAAGAAATGGGTTAGTACTACTAGAGTCACAACAGCCATAAGAAAGAAGTCAGCTTTTTGGATGCTGGGAGCTGAGGAATCTCGCTCCCCAGGAGTGGATGCTGCGGCATGTGGTGGGTGATTTTGCTCTTTGTACCACAGACCCCTGGAGTGGTTTGGCTGTTTTGATCAGCTAAGCACAGTGCAACTCTGTGATGGGTCCAGAGCTGGCCCAGCTTGCTCTTCAAGGCAGGTGGAATGGAGGGAATGTGAGAGAAATGGAACCTGAAGCCCCAAGATGTTCCTGTAGCTACTGTTTGGGCTTGCTTCTCTCCGTCCATCGTATGCTCAACAAGGCAGCCATCTGCTGGTCCCTCCATACAGCAGCCAGCTCCCGAGTCCTGCTCTCGACCAGCCACGGGTGGGGTGTCCTCATGCTCGCACGCATGGCTCCGCTCTGGGGAGGGCCGGGGGCATCTCCCCCTCTCAGGCAGCGTGCAGTGAGCCAGACCCCCTGCTTCAGCTCCTGAGCTGTGAGACTCCAGGGCAGACAGACGGGCTGACGGGCAGCTCTCGCCTGGGCTGCCGTGAGGAGGAAGAACCTGTCACGCTCACCCTGCAGGCAGACGGCAGCCAGGGCCTGCGGGCGTGGAGGGGAATCCTCTTCCACCACTGCAGGCCAGGTCAGCAGTTCCTCAGCTGCTGGAGGTGGGGCTGGCACGGAGGGCTCCACATTCAGAGCGAAACCAGTGGCTTTGCTGCTTAATCTCTGCACTCACTGGGGCTGGGACTGGGGCCAGGCCTGAGCGGAACTGAAAGGGAGACGAGGCCTGTTCCCTTCTTGGCCTGGCCTACTTCCTCTCAGCGGTCGGGAGGCAGGGAGCCAGCGGGGAGGGTGGGGTCCAGGCAGGGCTAACTGCAGAGGCAGGAGAAGGAAGGAAGTAGCCCTTCATACCTTAGCCATTTTGCAGACAGGAAACGGGCTCTGGGAGGCTGGCTGGCTGTGAGAACTCCGTGTGCTCTGCTGTGCACCCCTCACCTGACTACCCGGGCCTGGGATTTACTAGTTGTGCAACCCCTCTGAGCTCATTGTCCCTCGTTTGTAACGTCAGTGGTTCTAGAGCTGCTGTTACTGCCCCAGACTGCTGTGTCCACCAACCAGGGCAGGACAGGACCTCCAGAGACCTGCTGGGAGTGGGCCCAAACGGGAAGAGTCCCAGTTTGGCCAGGCTGCCCTGCCGTCTCCCTGCCAGGGGTGGGGTTGAAGGCAGGCAGCCCAGCGCTGCAGTCACGTCCTTCTGTCAGGTGCACCCACAGCAGGGCTCAGCATGTGGCTCTGGGGTCGGCGCTCACACTACCTGTGGAAAAGGCAGCCTCTGGCCAAGTATGCCCTTCTGGGCAGGGGAGGTGGGGGCTGGGTCCCCTGAAGCCTGCCTCTTGTTTCTACCTCCCACCCTGCGTTGGCTTGTTGGGGGTTACGGTGTTCTCCAAGTGCGCCTGGCCCTTGGGAAGGGAACCGCTGGAGGCAGGGGAGCCCAGCTGGGCCTCCTCTGTCCAGTCCCCAACTCCTCTCTGGCTCTTTCCACCATATTCTTATCTTCTTTTGGCCTCCGCTGGAAGCAGCCATCGATCATCTCATGAGTCCTGGAGAAACAGCTTATCGGTCTTATCACTAGAAATGAGGGGTCGTGGAGGGCTGCCCTCCCTTCTGGCTCCTCGGGTGCCCCAGAGCCTCCTGCTTTCAGCGGACAAGCATCTGCAGGGCCAGCCCCTGCTCCAGCCAGGTTCACTCTGGACCTAGAAGGGCTCTTGCTGGCAAAGGGTTTGGGGGACCATTTCCTGCCTACCCTGAACCGTGTGTGTATTGGGCGTCATGGGAGACCCCTGGGCCCACGGTTCTGTGTGGGCTTCAGCTGGCTGTAAAACTGGGGCCAGCTGCGCCAGGTTGGGCATATTGGCAGAAGCCTGTGGCTAACCTACCCTGCAGCCAAACCCATCCCTCGTCTGGAGACTTGAAGGCAGAACAGATTAGTGAGACGCTAGTGCTCAAAACCTCACCTTCCTTAGGCAGATGGCTTCACCGCCAAGGCTTGTGCTTCCGTTAGGCCAGGAGAGACGCATGCTAATGGGGATCTGATGGAAGGGGGCAGCTAAAGGCATAACGAAGACTTGGGGCCCCTAGCAGTCAGCACCAGAGAGAAAAGGGGCTTGGGTTGAAGACCCTCATGTCCCCTTTCTGGGCTGTGACAGAGGGTCAGGCAGCTCATGTCCATGGCTGCATGAAGAGCTCTCTGCTCCACCAGCGGGAAGAGAAGCACAGGTCAGTGCTGCAGTGGCCACACGTGCAGGGGGCTTGGCCCTCAGCCCAACGGGATTCTGGGGATCTGTGTGTGGGGAGTAGGGACTGCGTTTCAGAAGGACCCTTTGTGAGATCCTGCAAGTCAGAATGCTAGACCTCCCTCCACACTGGGGGCCTGGGTGGGCACAGGACCCTCAGGGACAAGCCTTGAGCGCCCCCCTCGGTCTCCTAGAGTTCAAAGCCCAAGCTGCGTGCAGCCTGCTCCAGCATCCAGGAGGTCCGGCGGTGCACACGCCTCGAGATGCCCGACAACCTCCACACCTTCGTGCTGAAGGTAAGTGTCGGGGTTCTCCACACCCGGGAGGGATGAAACACACCCCTCAAGGACCCCCACACAGCCGTCCCCTTCCCTTCCGCCAGGTGAAGGACCGGACAGACATCATCTTTGAGGTGGGAGACGAGCAGCAGCTGCATTCGTGGATGGCCGAGCTCCGGGAGTGCACAGGCCAAGGGTGAGGTGCCCGGGCTCCACCCTCTCTCAGCTTGGACTCCAACCCCGACCTTTCCAGATCCCTAACCCCAGCCTCTCCCCCCAGCAGGCTGGAGAGCACAGACCCCGAGAGGATGCATGTTCCCTCAGCTCCAGAGCCTGGCTCGTCCAGCTCTCCCAGGGGAAGCACAGATTCCCTGAACCAAGGTGAGTGAGTCCCGTGTGCTCTGGGTGCGTCTGACCCAGCCTCACCCCAGGATGTCAGGCACCCACAAGGGTCAACCATTACCCATCTTCTCTACCAGTTGCTCCTCCTGGGGGGTTGCTGGACCCAGCCTGCCAGAAAACAGACCACTTCCTGTCCTGCTACCCCTGGTTCCATGGGCCCATCTCCCGCGTGAAGGCAGCTCAGCTGGTTCAGCTGCAGGGCCCTGACGCTCATGGAGTGTTCCTGGTACGGCAGAGTGAGACTCGGCGTGGGGAATATGTGCTCACATTCAACTTCCAAGGCATAGCCAAGGTATGGGGCAAGGCAGGTGGGGCTGCACGCCCACCCCTCAAGTTCAAGGCCTCGGGAACCACTGCCTGAGCCACCCCTCCCCTCCCCCCGCAGCACCTGCGCCTGTCGCTGACCGAGCGGGGCCAGTGTCGAGTGCAGCACCTCCACTTCCCCTCGGTCATGGACATGCTCCGCCACTTCCAGCGCTCGCCCATCCCCCTCGAATGCGGAGCTGCCTGTGATGTCCGGCTGTCCAGCTATGTGGTCGTCGTCTCCCAGCCACCAGGTGTGAGCCCAGTGCCCCTTGCTAAAGGGGTGGGATAGCCCAGGGAGCCACATAAAGGGTAAAAGCTTGTGCTGCAAACCAAGGGACAGAGATGTGTGTCCTTCCAACATTTTCCTACCCTGTGAAAACTGACAGTATGGTCTCTTTGTCACTTGTCCCCCAGGTTCCTCCAACACTGTCCTGTTCCCCTTCTCGCTTTCCCGCTGGGAATCAGAGCTGGGCCTTCCCCACCTTGGCTGTCCGCAGGGGCTCAGCCCGGAGGGTCTCCCAGGCCGGTCCTCTCCCCCAGAGCAGATCTTCCACCTGGTGCCTTCGCCTGAGGAACTGGCCAACAGCCTGCACCACCTGGAGCCTGAATCTGCCAGCCGAGCCCGGGACTCAGACTATGAAATGGACTCCTCCCCCCGGAGCCACCTGCGGGCCATAGACAACCAGTACACACCCCTCTGACAGGCAGTGGAGCCTGGAGGAGCGCAGCCGCAGACAGGGCTGGTGAATGTAACTTTCCTTCCTTTCAGAGAGTTAAGGGTCACTTAACTGCTCCTTCCAGTGTGGATGTGACCCTCCTATTAGGCCTGTTAAAGGGCCTCCTGTAAGTTCCCACCGGCTTTCTCCTTGTTGTTTACAGCTGTAGTTCCTGCTCGCACATGCCGCTAGCTCCTGGCAGTGGAGACTCGCTCCTTCTCACTGACACGGCTGAAGACAGACAGACTTTCTACGTGGGGGAGAGGGGTCATCAGGAAGCCCAAAACACTAACAAGCCCTGGACTCTCATGGTTTCCCACTGTAGCTCAGTCCACGTGGCAGCTCTGGGCACCCATGCCCCAGGCGCCCGAACCCATCCTGCTTCGACACTCAGCCTTACGACAAAGCTGGCAGACGGTCAGGCTAAGGTCAAAATGATCTTAAACATTTTACCTCAGATACATTTCTCAAAGGATTCAGGTGTCAAAACTAAACCATTGCTTACTTTACTGCACTGCTTGAACTAACACCATCCGATTTTTGCAGTCAGACAGCTATGCAACCCTACGTGCCCGGCCTGACCCAGCACACCTGGCTTCCTGGTCCGCTGTAGCCTCAGGCGGTCACTGAACTGGGAGGGTGGCAGATCACAGTTGTACCCTGGTGCCTTATGACTAGAAAACTGGATTCAGCTTTATGGTGAGACTCATGTGAGCGGTGAGAGAGAAGGGCTCCTGGGCCTTTCTAGTAAACCCTTCATGGCTGGCTCAGAGCCCACCAGCCCCTAATGGCTCATTTTAGAGCCAAAATGGAAGCTACGAATCTGGTGCCATAGCTAAACGAGGAACTCCTTCGACAGCCCACACTCAGCGCTGTTCCAGCCTCCCCTGGTGAAGAGTGCGCAAGCACACCGCCCCAACACCCAGGGAGGCCCCGCAGTCAGATCTCACCTCTCCTCCCCACCACACTGGGGCCAGCAGAGTCCTTCAGTGCAGCCAGGCTCAACCAAGTGGCTTCAGGAATCTGGGAGTTCAGCACAGTTTTCGTGCATAAAAATATACATCAGAGGCTAAAATTAACCTGTGGCCTGAAACTGCTGCCTGCCTTACCCGGGCTGAGGGCTTTGTCTGCTCCCTCCAGCCATTCTCTATACTCCAAGAGGTCAGAGGTGAGCTTCTAAAATTTTCTGGGCTGTTTTGGGGGCAAAAAGCCACCTCAACACTTCTGGGTGTTTTCACAGGTTGTAAAGCAGATCCGATCCAGACTTTTGGTCCATTTCTAAGGACACTTATTCTCTAAGTGATGAATGCTACACAAAGTGTGAGCCAGAGGAGCGCGCACTATCTGAACGTCTCTTTCAAAGAGAAAGCTTGTCGCAGAGAGTCAATGCTGACAAGTCACTGGTGCAGGAAAGGGGTTAAACAATGACCCAAGCAAACCCCCTCCCTCCACATCTGGGCAATGACATCTTCAAGCCAGGGGCACTCACTCCTTGGCAGTCTCTCAGCAAGTAATTCTCAGGTAGGGCCAAGAGGCACGCCAGACACAGCGAGCTGGCAGCTCTGACCTCTGCTACAAAATGCAAGATCAGACTCAGAACTGAAAGTCACCCACCTCTAGACTGCTTCAGAATAACACGTTCAAGAAAAACATTTCCTTTCTAAACATGTCTACATTACCAGGACAGCTCAAACACACTCCACCAGAAAGCCCCGTCACGGCCTGGGAAGAAGTGACCCTAAGCCAGTGCCGCCCCTTCCACTAGAGCAGGTCAAGCTGGAGGAGAGGGAGCTAGATGCCCTCAGTGACCCTACTGGCTGTGGCCAGTCCGCAGCACGATGCGTACGCCACCCTCCTTCCAGTCCTGACGTGACCACTGCTGGCAGCCAGGGGCCGGGCCCGGCTCCGAGTGCCAAGGGGACCGTGAGCACCAGCTCTCTGCAGCTACCGCGGGTCAGACGAGGGCAGCTGGACTGCTCCCAGCACCGTCACTTCCTTAATCTGACTTCAACCAACTTTTACAAACTAACAGTCACCAGCACCAAAGAATTAAGTCAACTAACCTGCCTTGAATTTTAGACCAGCAATCCATATGGCTTTATCTGGTATAAATCTTCTGCCTTTGATCATTTCTGGACCGTGTAGGAAAAAGGAATAGCAATCGTTAAAATCTTAGACCAGAGAACACTATTTTTATAGAGCAGTTTCTTAATCTAAAATCAAGGCCTTGAACCCTTCCCTTCCCCTAAGGGTGGCCTGAGATTTCTTCAAGCTTTTATTCAGAGCTAAGTCTCTTATCGCAAATGTCCTGTGAGCTCTAACATCTCCCACAGGCTAGAGGAACGCTGTTCATGCCTCTTAACAAGAACACAGCTGTCATCCAGTGTTGGGTTGGAATAGCAGCACATTGTACCACCACAGAAAATGGGCTCATCTTGTATAATTATAAGCAGAAGGTATTTGGTAAATTTTTATGTATTGTTTACTGTACAAATAACTTATTCTTGAATAATGCAAATTTTGCTATAATGTACAAATTGCTACATGTGAATTAAACAAAAGGTTTTTGGAATCTTGCTTTGCTGCCAACCATATTTAAAGGCTCTATCTGTTATGACCACGGTCTCTTTAAAATCCTTGCCCTGCTCAAACACTTGCTTTTTCCCCTTTGTCCTCCCCTCCCACAAATTGAAGACATTAACAAACGTGTATGAGTCTATAGCCATAAACTGCTTTTGTACATCACTGCATCCTTTCTGCCCTCTGTTTACCAACAGTTTTTCTTCTTTTTTCAATGAATTTTTATTTTTCAATTACAGTTAACATATTAGTTTCAGGTGTATTTTCTCATGGCTTTAAAAAAAAAAAAGTATCTCCTGCCCCCTACTGGTAACAGAGACAGATGCCTGAATCAAGACTACTGACAACACTCATTTGGGTTCGGGGTATGAGAAAGGAAGCTTACAGAATCCGCGTCAGGCTGAGGACGTGGGGCCCAGCACTGCCCACTCTGGCCAGCCTTCCTCCTGCTGAAGCGCCCTCTATCCACCAAAGAGAGTATCTCAGTCTTGTCTTTTTCTAGAGATACCTTGAACCAGAACTAAAGGTGAAGAAGAAAAATCATTTGACAACTAACTTTCCAGGATATTAAGAAAGCACACTGAGCCCTCCTGCCTTGGTATCAACTAGTAGCTTATACAAACACACACTAACTGGATATCAGTTTTTAAAACTTTTTTTATTTTTTAATTTTTTTAAAGTTTTTATTTTATATTATCTACAAAGTAAAAGTTTTTCCCTTAACTTAAAAGTTGAACCACTGTAGACAGTGATCACTTCATCAAACTTGATTTATAAATAATAATCCGTCAGTTTGACGGTAAGAATTTACTGAACCTTTGTCAAGTTTAGTAAAAGGGCGTTCCAAGTCTTTTGATTTTTTTTTTTTGCAGTAATAGCAGCAAGAATCACTCTTGTTACTTTTGCTAGCTGATGTGTTCGTGACTTTCGAGGGTCATTAAAAAATAAATAACTTCCAGTTTCAGCAAGCAGAGCTAGGCTACTTGCGGGACTCAGGCAGCACATGGAATTACGGAACAGCCCACAAGTCCTAAACGCCTCTACTCGGTCCAAATGTCTCCCACTGCAAGTGAACTGTTAGCATTCCTATTGGATGTTACAAGGTATGAACATATATTTTTTAAAAACAAAATAAATGAAATTCTAGTTCTCTGTGCTTCCAGTTGGCAGAAGCAGTAGAAGGGAGGAGGGAATTTGGCCTTTCGGTTCCTCCAGGGCAGCCTTACAACTGCTGCTGGTGGTGGGCTTGTACTGTAAAAAAGAAAAGTGAATATTTAAACAGAAAACTGGCAACACCGCACATTAGCCTAGTGTCTCTGCAGCACACGGCTGTAACTATCCTTGTGCTAGCTGAACAAGGCTCAGAATTTCGTTCACTCCCCCCTCCCATCTGCACCAAAGGGGGAGGAGAAGGGAGATGTAGAAACAAACCAGTAAGACGTAAAACCACTTCAGATAAAACTCCCAGAAGACTTGTTGTTCGTGGGGTAGAAAAACAGGCCGTGACATCCCCCTCCCCAAATGTTAGCCAAGCACCAGCACTGCCTCAGAGGAACACCATGGCAGCCATCAAGCATAGAGCACAATCACGGGCCTCTCCGTCAGGGCGTAGGCGGGAACCAGTGCTACGCTCAGAGCCAATCCACACACAGCAGTCTCATCAGGAGTCTTCTCCAGAGCTACAGTCAAACCCTGTCCTGGTGGTGACCCCCCACGTCAGACTGTTGGGACTCAGGAAGGAAGCGCTGCCCTGCCCAGCCTGCCATAAACAAGGAAGGCCAACGGAGCCCTAAGCGGGCGTCAGCTCCACAGAATGCTGCTGCCGCTTCTCATCAAGCCACACCCTGCACCTTCAGAACACACAGACTCGGCTCCAGGAGCCTCAGCCCTGACACTGACTGCTCGTCACAGTCCCTGCTGTGCACACTGACGGGTCTTGCTAGTTCTCAAAGGCGGGGTTTGAAGCGCTGGCCCTGCCTGCCATTCGAGCTGTGCGAGCAGAATGCTTCGGGGTGCCCGGCGGCCCCTGCACACACGCGCCTCACCTGAAGGGTGCGTCATATAGGGGAAATGCGCTGCTGTCGAGGCTGGAATGGGTTGTAGTGCACTTTGGGCGAGGGCGGCCTGGGGACCGCCGGGTGGCTGTGTCGTCATTAGCATCATTGGCGCATGGGCAGTTGGATGAGAAGGAACCATTCCTGACTGTACATGAGCCTGAAACAGAGAGCTCTTTTACGCATACAGGCAACATCTCCAGCTTAAACAACACGTCAACTGTGTTCCTTTCATGGGGCTGGGGCTCTCACGAAAGGGCAGTGGTGGGCCCTCAGGGCCCCTTCTTTTCTCTGGGGACACTCCTTAGTGGAACATCAATTGATCTACAGACATGCTTCACTGTGTAGCAGATCGATCCTGCAAGGTTGAGGAGCAGGCATCAGGGAGCCTGGGTGAAACCAGGGCTGCAATGCCCTAGCCTTCATCATTCTGATCACTGGATTCTACGTATGGGACAAGGTCTGCACAAGATCAGACCCCTGACCCCAAGGCCGCATGCTCAACTTAATAGGCGAGATGCTTCAGAATCTGGCTTCCACGCGGAGCCTGAAGTAGGGTTACAGAGGACATTCCTTTCAAAGAGGAAAGCAGATTATTACATTGTAAGCAGGGACTGTCGGACTCTGTTCTATGAATTACTTTCCTCGTTTGCCCCCACCCGGGACCCTCTGCTTCCTGCCCGCTTGCCAGCACCCCTCATGAGGAATGAGGGCAGTGAGAGAGGAGACCTGGGTCCCTCTACTCTGCTAAAAGCAATGCTGATGGAGCAGCAGGAAGAGGTCACAGTGATGTGGGGAGGAGTAGTGAGAAACAATCCAGGCCAGCCCAGTGTCCCTGTACCGAGTGATACTGAGTTCGACTTGGTCTCACTTTCAAAGTTGGGAAGGTTTTAGGCCAAACAGCAGCTCCCAGCTCTGGAGGGATTTGGCAGGGCCGGGAAGAGCTGTTTTCTTGCCTCCCATACCATGCACGATTCCAGACCATGAGAAGCCTTGAATGAAATGCTGTTTTTGTTATCTTACATATTCAAATAGGCCCACGGCATATCTGGGCTTCCCTGTGTTAATCTATTTTGCTCTTTCAGCACAAGCACAAAAGTGAGGTTTTAGGAACCCCAACCTACATGTAAATTCACATGCCTACTTAGCCACCAGCCTCTGCTAGACACTCAGAGGACCCCAGCTCTCATGAAGCTCCTGACTCAGCCAACCATGCTGGCCCACACCTGACCAATCGGCTCCCCTCCCCACCATCCAGAGCACACCATCCGCTGCAGCGGCCGCACTGCAAAGACCGCCCAGAGCTGTGGGCGCTACGACAAGGTCACCTCTGAGTTAGCGCCAACTGCGCCGCACCTTCAGCCCCCACACGCCAGAGCCTCAGTGGCACACTGTCTGACATAAACGGGAGTTCGGTGAGGCAGTCCAGCTTAGCCCCGCCTAAGTGCTGCTATGAAAGTAGCAAAAAGACATCGAATACAGCCAGTTCACCCTTCACAGCTCCAAGGCAGGCCTCAAAGACAGTGTTAGAGCCCGAGCTCAGTGCAGCGCCCTCTCCTCATGAAGACAATCTACCTTGGCCCTGGTGGCATTGGGCTTTTGTCAGCAGCTGATGCAGAAGCAACCACTCAGATAGCAACCACACCTTTCAACCTTTAGAAGCTGACACGGGAGGTGAGCTCCAAAGTGCATCCAGGGCTGCTCTTTCAGAAAAATGCAAACACCTGGGTGCTTCCAGCGTCTAGTTACAATGCACCAGTGCACAAGGCCAAGCCTTTTCAAGAAGTACAACATATGGTCAAAACGATGTATGGATAGCCAGAGAAAACAAGAGGGGAGATTTCTCTGGAATTCATGTGACCAACATTCAAGCTGACAGGCTCAAGGTAATCAGAGTTAAGAATTTGTGAAGGTCCATCCTTCCTGCCACAAATTTCATGTGTGCATGCATGTGTATGCATGTGTGTGTGTGTGTGTACGAGAGAGAGAGTGTGTGTGTGTGTGCAGCAGAGGAAGAGATGGGGGGAGAGAGAGTGTGTGAGTGTGTGTGTGAGAGACTGATTATATATGTGTATACATACATATATGTATCAATGAAGCTATTTAAACATAGCAAAGCAGACACAGGGAGGAAAGGTGCATTCCAGAGTCAAAGATATTTATACGTTTTCAGCTGGAAAACGTTAAAAGACTGACCAATCAGCAACTTCACTGATCCCATTACAAAACCACACAAACATCCATTTAGGGCCAGATCACATGTATTTGAATGGGAGAAGGGAGACAGGCAAATCACACACAGGGTTTCCTAGCTTGGAGAGCATCCGGCTCTTTGCTGCTTATCTGATTACCTTCCTATTCTACTTGGTCTTCACAGGAAGTTGGCTAAAGCTGATTTACCTGAGGTACGTGGGCCATGTGGGGCGGGTTGGTGTATGCCGGCTGGACATGTGAAGGGTGGATCGTGAAGACAGTCTGCTGTGCTGCTGGGAAGCTATTCTGTGGCGACTGCGTGTTGGAGGCAGGTGTCATGGAAGGTGGGGTTGGTGCAAGCCCCGCGTGGTAAATGGCTGACTGCTGCTGTGGACTGGCCAGATGGAGCGCCTGGGCGGCCTGGTGCTGATGGTGCTGTAAGGGACAGAAAGAATTAAGAGAAACACTTTAGGGTCACACAGAAAGCTGAGCTTTGCGCATGAAAACAGGCCTCACTTGGGCTCGTCTAAGATGAGGGGCAACGGCAAGCACAGGAGAACATACAGGACAGTAAGAGCAGGGGGGGCCTGCTCAGGGACTTCCTTTCTGAGGTACAAGCCCTCAACCAAGTGGAGGTAAAACAAAACCACTGCAGCCCTAGACTGTGGCTTAGCGGCTGGGGCATCAGCCTGTGGACCAGAGAGTCCTGGGTTCAGTTCCCGCTAGGGGCACGTACCAAAAACAAAAACAAAACAAAACAACAAGACCACTGCCCCCTGAGAACTGACAGATGTCAGAGATCCTTAACCGCCTCTGTCAAGAAACATGATTAAAGAAATTAATAGGAGCCCGGCCAGTGTGGCTCAGTGGATGGAGCATCCTCCCATGGACTGAGAGGTCCCAGTTTGATTCTCAGTCAGGGCACGTGCCCGGGTTGCGGGTTCGATCCCTGGAAGGGGACGTACAGGAGGTAGCCGATTGATGTTCCTCACATCGATGTTTCTCTAAAAAATCAATTAAAAAAATTAATAGGAAAAAAAACTCATCATATAAACATTAGGAATTAAATAAAAAAAAATAGCCCTAGTTGGTTTGGTTCAGTGGTTAGAGTGTCGGCCCGCAACCAATGAGTTGCGGGATCGATTCCAGTCAGGGGCACGTACCTTGGCTGCGATTCATCCCGGCCCTGGTTGGGGTCATGTGGGAGGCAACCAACCACTCGTGTCCCTTTTACGTCGATGTCTGTCTGTCTGTCTGTCTGTCTGTCTCTCTCTCTCTCGCCCCCACTCTATCTGAACAAAAAATGGAAAAATGTTTTCAGGCAAGGATAAAATAAATAAAATAATTTAAAAATTATAAAAAAGTTCCATGCAAATTTCTTACTCTGTTAAATTAGATTTTTCAATATTGTTGTTTCCAGAACTTATGCAATCATCTTATTCTTAATGTGTCTCTTAGTGTGACTTAACACCAACCCCAGGGGCAGTCTGCAGAGCCGTGTGCTGGCTCCAGGAGGCAGGGCTGCCTGCGGCCCCAAAGGACACGCTCAGCACACAGGAGAGGACACGCTGCTGCGAAGGCTTCCGAGTCTCTCCTTACCTGAACGGGACTGGGTGCGGGGTGACTTCCACCATGCTGGCTTTGCTGCTGTCCGGTGGGAGTGGCTGAAGGCTGAGGATGTGGAGTATGTGGGTGCAGGGTAGCATTGGGGTGTGCATACTGCTGAGCGAGGGAGCCGGTGGAAACTGAAGTGAAAGAGAAAGGAATGTGTGCATTGACACGTGGACGGTCTCGGCCGCTCCTCTACGCCTTGTCAGCTGAGCTTTCCTGATGCTCAAGGCCTAACCTATGCTGTTACCAGTCTCTGTATTTCACTCCATTTAAACCATCAATTTTCATGAAAAAAATAAATGTGAAGTTACTGCTTAACAATCAAACTAGCATTTTATTCATGATAACACAACTGCATACATCATATTAAAATCTAATTGGTTTAAATTTACTCTTAAAACAATCACTAGGTTTTCCTGAAAAGGTAACTTAACATAGGCAGAAACAATTCAATCTCTCTCTCTCTCTCTCTCTCTCACTTACACACACACACACACACACAGTAGCGCAAGGCCATCATCTGGCTAACCTCACCATGCTACTGCCCTGGAGCTGGCACAGTGTCCCATGGGCACAGACTACACTGGGGCTGGGGATAAGGGGCTGGATAAGGAATGTGGCAAGGCCAAGGCTCAATGACCACAATTTTTCTCGGCTGATCAAAGAAGCCACCTAGCTCATCCCCCTCCCCCAAATTCAAGGATCTTTTACCTTGCTTTATGAAATCTAGTAAATAGAATTACCTAACCTATGTAGAAAAATGAAGTCTCTTCAACGCATCTCAGTCTTTAGAAAGAATTTTACTAGAGTAACTTCAAAGGAAACATGAGCCAGTTTAAATAAAATTATGTTCATTCAAGATAAGAACCCAAAGCCCATTCTTCGTGAATCTCAGCATGGACCATACCTTGGTATAAAACAGGGAGATTAGGTATAAATGATTTATTCATGTCTTTCCAAAAGAGCAATTTGAGAATCAAAAGCACAATAAGATGGGTTAATTGCTTTCAGTACCTATCAACAGTGCACTGATATAAAACCAAACTAGGATGTAGCAATGAACTGAGGACAGTGTCCTAGCAACATGTGACTCCGACCTTCTCTCAAATCACTCCTAAAATCCCCGAGAAGCTAAGTCCAAACATATATAGACATATAGGGAGCTGTTGGGGAGAAGCAAGCACTGCTTTGGGATCAGGCACCCTAACTCCAACAGTCTAACAGGCAAGGTTGCCAAGGGTCACCAGACTAAATAACTCTGGGTAAGTCCCATGTCAATGTTATGCAGAAGGTTAGGCACACAAAGCAATTCTGTAATGCTTGAGGTTGTAGGGCCAAGAGCCACCAATACTCCAACCCAACTGGTCATCTCCCCAGCTGCACATGTATCTTAAAAGAGGGAAGGGCAGGGCAAAGAGCCAGTGCTGGGGTCACCTGCGCATCCAGTGCCAACGCCACAGTGGGCACAAGGCCCAGATCAGAACCAAAAAAGAAAGCACATTCGTTTACACACTGGGAAATGTCTAACTTATAAGAGTCTGTACACATTAAACATATTAACATGAAAAACTGTGGCAACATGTTCTGAGTATTTTTCCCCTCTTAAAAAGTTTATTTTTAAAAAATTTAAGTACAGTTAATATACAGTATATTTCTCTGGGTGTTTTAAGAAGAATCAGTGACTGTTTTCTGGGAGATAGGAAAAATAATGTACTAACTGCTTTCACAGTTTCATGAGTCTATAAAAGTAGTCAGTGTCTTTCTTCTAAGTCACTGGCTTATTAAAAGGCCCTTCTTCATCATCATGCTCCCTTTCAGATCCCCTCAAATTGTCTAGGCACTGACTTGATGTAAAAAATCTGACATATATTTTGAATCTTTCTTCTTGTAAAAATCTTACACTTATTTTTCAAATCTATTTTTAAAGAATTAAAACAGCCACATGCAGTGAGTGGCTGATTACATAGCACTATTCCATCACCACAGAAATTCCAACTGGACAAGTGATGTCTCGAGACATTCATGCTCCCTTATTTTCAACTCATAAACATTAAATACACCCTGCCTCCAAGCTTCTTAAATGTTTCATTTTCAGCAACACCAAATCTGGGGAAAAGCAATTTCTGAATCCTAAATTCTATTTATGAGGTTTCATAGAGTACAGAATCTCAAGAGTTCCTGCTTTTTTAAACTTTTATTTGTTCAAGAAATTTCTGTACTAAAATATTTTATATTTCACTTTTAATTCTTAGACTCAAAGTATTAAGAAAATTAAAAGTAACAATAAATAAAAAACTCTAGCATGACCACCACAAAGAAACTGTGCTCATGAAGTTTCATAATTGTTATTCATTAGAAAAATGTTAAAATCTTGAAATTTGAAAATTAAAAATGAAATACACACACACACACACACACACACACACACGTTTTTTTAATCCTCACCCAAGGACATTTTTGCATTCATCTTCAGACAGAGCAGGAGGGAGAGGAGGGGTAAGACAGAGAAACATTGTTGTGAAAGAGACACATCAACTGGTCGCTACCCACACAACCTCAACCAGGGCCGGGGACAAACTGCAACAAAGGTATGTGCCCTTGGCGGGAAATGAACCTGGGACTCTCTGGTCCACAGGCTAATGCTCCAACTGCTGAGCCAAACCAGCAGGGCAAAGATAAAATAAATATATTTGGCTAGGCACTTGTAAAAGGCATCTCTGTGACATTTTACCGATATCTGAAGCCTACGAAATAGAGCAATCTAACCTACAGCTCATTCACATTCACAGTCCTACACTTCAAGTGATCAAGTGGAGTGCTTTGTTTAAAAAGCCCATCCTTCCCCTACCCTAACCACCAATAAACTGCAATGTATTATAAGAAAATCAAGTAGATGTAATTTATAGTTCATAAGCTGCAAATAAAATTTAAAGAAGTTTCATTAGAAATATTTTCCTTTGTTCATCTTCTTGCTTAAAAGATATAAAGCAAGCCCTGGCCGGTTTGGCTCAGCGGTTAGAGCATCGGCCTGCGGTCCGGAGAGATCCGGGTTTGGTTCCCGCTAAGGGCATGTACCTCGGTTGCAGTTTGTCCCCGGCCCTGGTTGGTCGTGCAGGTGGCAGCCACTCGATGTGTCCCTTCACATCGATGTTTCTCTCTCTCTCTCTCTCTTCCTCTCTCTCCCTCCCACTCTATCTGTGCAAAAAAATGAAAAAAAAAAAAGATATAAAGCAAATACCTTATCCAGAAACTGCCTTTTCCTCCTCAAACACAAAAACTGAGTGGCTGGCTAATAAATTCAATACAAATAAAAAATATATAGTCTGGTTCCTTGAAAGGCCAGAAGAACGAGACAAAAAAAGATGGGACAGAAGAAAAATTCAAAGGCTGAGGGGGCATTGATTAGGTGGCCCAGATGTTCTATCTCTAAAATCAATAAAAAAGTAAATAAACATAGCGCCTTGGGTAAGGATTAAAAGTTTTAAAAAGGCAGAGGGGGAAAAAGTTAGAAGAAAAGAGACAAGAGAAAGGAAACAAATATAGAATAAACTAGGACGCCTGGCTGGTGTGGCTCAGTGATTGAGCGTCGACCCTGCACCAAAAGGTCGCCGGCTCGATTTCTGGTCAGGGCACGTGCCCAGGTTGTGGGCCAGATCCCCGGTGTGGGTTGTGCAGGAGGCGACCAATCGATGTTCTCTTTCATCAGAATTTCCATCTCTCTCTCCCTCTCCCTTCCTCCCTCTCTAAAATTAATAAAAAAGAAAAAAAATGAGGAAAAAATTTAACAGAATCAGAGAAAAGAAGTGGAAAGCAAAGGCCAGAAGTTCTGAGCTCTGCTAAGTGTATCATTTAACTGCTTTTATTGCACATGTTCATTAATTTAGCTAAAGATTTCAGACAGATTAACAATAAAATGAATTTTCTTCAACAGTGCGATTCAGCCAAGCACTTCTATTTATAAAACTATAAATATGAAACCTGAATGAGGTCAAGCAAACCAAAAAAGTATCACTCTTCTGGGCCAGACCTGGTCCAGAAGTTTCCTACTTGCTGTGTTCTTTGATATGAACATTCAAAACTCTAAGTACATGATTTCTCAAATCCTCCTAACACTAACCACATTCCAAAACTAGTTTCGTAAGCATGATCTCACTGAAGCCAATCCCGCCCATAAGGCTGTGTTTCACCTGCAAGCAGGTTTCCCCTCTGGCCTGGGATGCACAAGCTGTGTGAGAGACCACCAGTGCTGCAAAACTTTAAAAATGAAACAAAGCAAAACAAAATCTTCCAACTTTTAAATCTGATGTTAAATTAAGGTAAAAGGAAGTGAAGAAAAGTTGAAAAGTCTTTGAAAGGGGAGTAAAAGGCAACTAGTCCAAACTATGACAAAATAGCTTAGAAAGGGGAGAGGGAAGTTTGAAGCAGCAAGTTAAATGACAAATAGCAGCCCCACTATTAGTTGTCTTTTAAAAAGTACTGATATTCCTCTGTAAGGGAAGCTGTGCTAAGGCAGTTAATGCTCGGGTGTGATGACAAAGAACCTTTGGGTTACTTACCAGAAAACCGACTCCAAAACTAACAGTAAGATGGTGAGGGTAACTAAATTTGAGACCTCGAATTGAGTGCATACTACAATTAATTACTGACACTGTCTTTTACATACTACATCATATACATAGTTTCCCTTTAATAGTATATATACAGCAAGACTCCTTTTTAAAGAGCATCTATTAAAGGATTAAATTTGTTAACATTTCCTAGCACCACATAAGTAATTTTTATACACTTATTTTTGGATACCAAGTCATGGCACAATTAATGAAAAACTGAAGTCAAAATGTTTTCTAAATGCTTTTTAAAATACGACCTTTAGTGGATTCAGACATTGAGTCATTATAAAATAATTCAAAATTTAGTTTCTAAAATAAAAATTAATCCTTAATATCCCCTAGAATGAAGTATTTCACATAAAGTAACACATTACTGGCATCAATTTTTAAAGAATTTCTCCAAATTAGTACCATTCCTGTTCAAATACCAAAAGTCCATGACTAGCTTTATTTTAAAATTGCCCTACAAAGGGAGAAAACACACCTTACAAGTTCATTTCCAAAAGAAAGCTCTGCCCAGACTTTCGCGGTCAGGAGCCCCCATTTCCCCTTTCACTGGAGGTGGGCGGGGCCAGTGTCGCCAGACAATCTCTGGTAGGTCCTGCTTTCCTGCCCAAGCTCAAGACACCCCGAGGTGTCAGCCACTTAAATATTTTAAACCTTCAGTCAAGCAAAGACTAAAAAGACAGAAATGTTTCTCACCTCGTTTTTCAACCCTACTCAATTCAAAATCCTTGTAAGAATAAATTTCTTACCAGAATACTAAAAAATCCGTTTAGAAGGTTTGTTGTATACTAAATTTGTGTCTTGGTTCAGAAAGAAACTATTCAGAAAGTTTCTCACACAAGAAAAATATTAGGCATTTCCAAAACAGTCACATGTTTGCTTGGTATACAAAAATTAATTTCTGAAACAACTCAATTTTTTAACCCCAGCTTTCTTAAGCTGGGTTATATTTCCCTTTTTTAAAACTCTGATTTATTTATAGATACAAATATTTTTAATAATTTTGTCTGGCACAAGGAAAATATTGCTCAACAAGTCTACTCCCTTAACATATATTCTTTAAAAAGTGTTTTACTGATCAATTAAAATTAGTATAAAAAACCCAACTCACTGGCAAAGTAGAAAGAAGGGCTTGTCTCCTTGTTGTATGGTAATTTGGGACATGCTGAATTTGGGAAATAGAAAGGTAAATTAGCCTTTTAAGGTCTGCATTTTCCTAATTTTCTGGAAAGGTTGACATAGTCATTTCTTTTTGTAAATTCATGCAAAATTCATTCTTATTTTACAAGAGATGACAAGCACTTTAAACATTGCTACAAAATTAAATAAGATAGGGCTGAACAAAAATATACTTTTCTTCTGTACTGAGGTGTCAAGTTCTGCAGGCTGACTTGCTTAAATAAAAGGAATAAATTATCTAATAAACAGACCAACATGGCATTCCACTGAACAATCTGAACATAAAAATTGTACCAAAATAAAATAATATTTACCCAAGTTTAATTCAAAAGACAGACAATTCTGCAAACCACTATTAATGAAATGATATTACTCTGTAAGATGTTTATTAGGCATCTGGTAGTGGATCCAAAAATTTTATAAACATAACAGTAATATTAAACATGGGTATGATATCATTTCTTATTATAAAGGTGTGTGTGTTTAAATACAATTGAAAGAATATGCACCAAAATGTTAACAGGTGTTGTCAGATGGAGGGATAATAGGCGTATTTCAAAGCTTTTTGCCTACAGTATTTTCTTTCTTTATCTTTTTCCCCAATATTTTAAAATTTATTTTTGTTACAGATGTTTCTCCTTTCCCCCCACTAGACACCCCCCCCATCTACTGTATTTTCTAATTTATCTGCATTAAACTAACAAATCAAAGAAGGATTCTGGATCTAACTCTTCCTGATGGCTTTATGTAGAGAAAGTTTCATTATTACTATTTTTGAAAAAGAAAACATCACTGCCATAAAACAAAGCATGAATTAGAAAACTAGATATTAAAGAAACAAAAAGTAACTTCTTAGGAGGGAGGGGGCAGAGGCAATGATAAAACTTAGATTAAGATCAAAGAGATAAAGTTTGTGATCAAATCCTTTCTAAAATAGCTAGGAAGAGAACAAGGTCAACAATTACTCAGAATGTATATATCTCTCCTAATTATTTAACTGTCCAATAATCTGTTAGCATATTTATATTAAATATACCAAAAATTTAAAAACAATAATCAGGCTCTCATTTTGCAGTCACTAGCAGTACTTTCTATTCTCAAAGCCTTTGCTATGACGTACCCATTAACAAAGGGCAAAAAGGTGACATAATTGTCACTAACATCTTGGTGCATATTCTTTTATTTACATAAAAAGTTTTCAAAATCTAGATAGGATATAGCTTAAAAATAATCGTAACACATACTAAAAATATTTGGTTCCTTTAGGAATACAAAATATAAATTGTTCAAAGGAGATGAGTATACAATGAGCATTTCTATGCAACAGTTTGTTCTTGTTTTAAAATAACACACTTAAAATTTTTCTGTATTTGGCATAATTAGGATTTAGAAAATATAAAATAACTGAAATAAATTACTGAAGAATTAGTGAACTTGCTTTAGCACAATAAACTATGGTTTATGACAACAGAGAACAAAATAATTCCCTAGTGTTCTTTTTAAGGTATGAAGTATCCAAGAGAACCTCAATTAACGAGCAACAATCATACCAAGTCCATAGCCTTGCCCCTAGCCAGCCCTCATTAACAGGCACCAATGAAATACAACTTGTGTAAACTGCAGGAGAGCAGTTAAGATTTGGCTGAGCAACTTTCTCCGGGTATTTACTGGCTCTGACGACTAGTACATTAAGTCTAGTGTTTTGTTTTGTTTGCAGTATTTCCTATTTACCCGTACTTGAATGAACTTCAGGGTCCAAGGCCAAGTGTTTTTCAAATGAAAATGTTCTGGGAAGGTAGTTATAAAAACCACTAGTGCCGCAAATAACAGTATTTACTGTACAGACTGTTTCAAACCAACGAACATCCATCCAAAAGTCAAAGCCAGATGTTGGCATTGAGGAGAAAAATCCTGCTCAACATCACAGTATTACTACAAAGTCTCAAAATCATGGGGGCACAAACAGCTATTCTCTAAAAGCAACGAAAATTTTAGCTCAAAAGTTTCAGATCTTATTCCAAGAGGAATATGCCAGAAAAATGGAAGGAAAGAAATGTTTTTTCCACTTGTTAAATCATGATGTATTCACCAGAAATATAAAACACTCATAATGAACTTTTCACCTAAGCCTTTAGCAAACTGGAAAATTGTTGAAAAGTACACAAATTGCATAAAAACCAGTGTGAGAAATCAATGGTGCCTTTTCATACATACTTAGTCCTGATTAAGGTAACTAAAGACAAGCAAAGGACAGGAGATCATAACCAAAACCGTAAGTCATATCAGTATGTCAGTATATTTTTCAATTAAATTATGGATGGCTTCTTGAAAGAAATGTAGCAATTACATCATTTTTGTTTAAAGGGCATAATCCACAATAGATAGTTTTAAGTGATAATGAAAAAAGTATAATCGAACTTCAGCACTTTATTAAGAAAACACCTTGAACCCGGTAACGTCAGGAGCCTGTGTGGCAGGAGCCATCTGCAGGAAGAAGGCCTAAGCGCTGGGCTACAGGGACCAGGATGCTGCTGCCGCCGCCGGAGTCCCATTCCTATTAACCTATAACTGTTATAAACTGTTGCCTAAAGTTAAAACATGAAAATCTTTACAGTCTTAGTCATTGAAAATGTTGAAAGAGGTTGAAAAAAATGAAATGTCCTTGCATGTAATTATAATTTCGTTCTCATAGTGTTCTTTTCTATTGTATGAAGAAACAAACTTCTCGCACTCAAAAAAACTGAAATGCCACAACCTCAGAAAAGTTCAAAACAAAACCTACATCTTAATAAAATTGGTACTAAACGTGCATTTAAAAAACATAAATATGGGAAAACCCATTAATTCTGTATTACACAATTAAGATATAAGTGGAAATCTTATTTTAAATTCTCAATATTGAAAACCATATTGTTTTAGAACTTTAGACAGCTGCTAAATTGACCTGTACTAAGTTTTCTGGCTATAAACTAAGACAGTACTTTTTACTTATTATTAATTATTCTTATATATATTTAATTTTATATAGAATACTTCTTACTTTCATTTTACCATTGTTTATATTGATATTTAAAGTGTAAATGTCTAAAGCAGATCTAATATTACACAATTTCAACCACTTAAAATACAGCATAATGCAGAAACACAACAGCATTATAACAAACAGCAATAAAAATATGTAATGCCAGTGACCCCTGGGCAAGAGGTGAAGAGTACTGGCGAGGGCGTTCGTCATGGTAAAACCTCCTTGCGTGCCTTCTACAGGGCAAACAAATAACACTGATGAAGAGGAGCAGAAAGATATCGTTCTCCACAAAAGATGCTTTCTATTACACACATCATTATATTTAGTTCAAGGAGAGACATCTGGACAGAGGAATTTCAGGAACAGAAGTAGAAATAATTGGCCAAGGCTTAAAGCAGGTAAGAGGTAGAAATGGGTCGGTCCATCTTTTCTTTAGATTCTTTACCCTCAATGTCATTAAAAGGCCAACTTATTCTTAAACAGAGCTTTAAAACAAATTGAGAATAGTCACATAGTGAAAAAGACAAAGTGCTTCCTACCATACATCGCGTGCGTCTGCTCATGAGCCCCGTACTGAGCTGCTGAAGAAGATACTAAGCCAGGCTGGGCGTGTGCTGCTGGTGCCATCATTCTAGCATTGCCCTGTATTACAGGACTATAGACATGGGGGTGCTGTGTTCAAAGAAAAAAAATTAAGAGAAAACATTCAAAAATCAAATAGATTCACTCAAGCAGACTTTAGTTAGATGCCTTAACCCCTCAGTGTCCAGATTTCCAAAACAACTCTAAAAAATCTAAAACCTTTCTTGGCTATTTCTTTTGAAATAATGAAGTGATGCCCAGCTGGTGTGGCTCAGTGGTTGAGCATTGACCCCTGCACCAAGAGGTCGCTGGTTCGATTCCTGGTCAGGGCACACGTGCAGGTTGTGGGCCCAGCCAGTGAGGGGCATGCAGGAAGTAGCCAATCGATGTTCTCTCTCATCGATGTTTCTGTCTCTCCCTTCCTCTCTCTAAAATCAATAAAAAAAAAAATTGTGATCAATAACTTTCTAAAATATATTTAAAAGTCCCCAACACCCCCCATCCTTAGCTACCAACCATAGCACAACAAAAAGAACAAGATATAAAGGAAAACCCCTCTATCGTGTTAAGTTAAAATTCAAGTTATTTAAATGAAACGAAAATGATGAGTTAGGTCCTGTCAGCCTTACCTGAGACTGATAATGTGGCACATGCTGAACTAGAGGTTGATTTGGAAACTGCTGAGGACTATAGGCAACATACTGTGTGGAATAAGCTGGTGGGGTGGCCACAATTGGTGGGCCTGCTGCTGAGGCTGGGTGCATCATAGTGCTCTGATGATGCTGGTCTTGCCGCTGTTGGGGCATATTTGGTACTGCAGAAAAAGATAACTTAGTATAAGAAAACAGCCTCTCCATGGCACAAAATACAGGACACGGTCCACGAGGCTCTGCAGGATGGGAGCCTCCTGCTTGCCTCTCCAATGCCATGTATCCACTCCCAACACACTTCAGCCACCCGTCTTCCCGTCACACATGCTACTCCTCAGACTCAAACACCGATTCCCCAACTCCCAGGTTATTCTGATGTGTCTTTCAGGTGTCAGCTTAAAAGCAACTTAGAGAGACCCTCTATGATGAACCCCAAACTTGATCAAACTATGAAACATTTCCTTCATACTACTTCTCAGATAACATCAAATTATGCCACTTGCTAGAGAAGGGCATTGGATTTATTCGAAGATAAACAAAAACGTGAAAATAGACCTAACACTAATCTTAATTTCCTACCAGTGAATTCTCCAACAACTTCGTGCTTTTTCTCAAACACAGAATCACACACTATCATGTAGCAGGTTTCCCAAATAATAGCTCGTTTTAAATATTTTCTCTTTATTGATTTTAGAGAGAGAGGAAGAGGGAAAAAGAGAGAGATAGAAACATCGATTGGCTGCCTCCTGCATGCCCCCCACTGGAGATCAGGCCCACAACCTGGGCATGTGCCCTGACCAGGAATCAAACCAGTGACCTCTTGGTGCATGGGTCGATGCTCAGCCACTGAGCCACACCAGCTGGGCAATAATAGCTCTTTTTTAAAATTACTTTATGCCCTGGCCAGTTTGGCTCAGCGGTAAGCGTGTTGGCCTGCGGACCAGAGAGTCCCGGGTTTGGTTCCCACTAAGGGCATGTACCTCGGTTGCAGTTTGTCCCTAGCCTCGGTTGGGGCCATGTGGGTGGCAACCACTCGATGTGTCTCACATCGATGTTTCTCTCTCTTCCTCCCACTCTATCTAAAGATAAATGCAAAAATGTCCTCAGGTGAGAATAAAAAAAATAAAAATTACTTTTTGTCTTTTATTATTCCACACAGATATCTGCCTATGGTCCTCCCCCTGTTGAAACTCCAATTAAGATTTTTGCTCAGCCCAGCTGGTGTGTCTCAATGGTTGAGCATCATCCTGTGCACCAAGAGATCACTGGTTGGGTACCCAGTCAGGGCACATACTCAGGTTTCAGGCGCGATCCCCAGTAGGGGGCATGCACAAGGCAGCTGATCAATGTCTCTCCCATCAATGTTTCTCTCTCTCTCTTCCTTTCCCTTCCTCTCTCTAAAAATCAATAAAAAAAAAATATATATATATATATATATATATATATATATATATATATATATATATATATAAAGCCCTGGCTGGTTTGGTTTAGCAGTTAGAGCGTCAGCCTGTAGACTAAAGAGTCTGGGGTTCGATTCCAATCAAAATCATGTACCTCAGTTGTGGTTTAGTCCCCCGCCTTGGTTGGAGTTGTACAGGAGGCAGCCAATTGATATTTTTCTCACTCTCTCTCCCCCTCCCTCCCACTGTTGGAATAATAAATGGAAAAATATCCTCGGGTGAGGATTAAAAAAGCAAAATTATTTTTTGGTTAAATGTCATTTTCTCTATAATGTCTTTCCCAGTTCCCCCTAAAAGAGCTAGCTATAAGCTCTGTGCGCCTTTTCCCTCACATATCTATTAAAGCACTGACTGTTTTCTGTGATGGGTTTATGGTGCAATGTTAAACAAGCCACTTGAGAGAAGGAAACATGAACCACTGCTTATATAACAGGTATGAGGCACAAAAAGGTATAACTCAGTATGTTCATAAAACCATCCTATTTATATAAGTAGCAGCTAATTTAGAGACAGAATTTGGTTTTTATTTCAAATATTTGAAATTTTTTGCCAAAAATAAAAATGTATTAATGGTTGCTGAAATTTAGAAGAATTAGTTATATACTGTCTTATCTATTAAAAAAAGCAAATTTGAAAACAGAAGAAACCAATACAGTAATATTTTTCTGAATTTAATCTTTGAGATTCCCCATATCAAAAAAAAAGCATTTTTCAAAAGTAATCCTCACCAGAGGATATGTTCATTGATTTCGGGGGCGGGGGGATTAATTTCAGAGAGAGGGGAAGGGGGTGGGGGTGACAGAGATCATTGATCAGCTGCCTCCAGTACGCGACCTGACTGGGAATCAAGCCCACAGACTTTTGGTGTACAGGGTGATGATGCTCCAATCTACTGAGCAATCTGGTCAGGGCGTAAGAAATCAGCTTTTAGTATAGAAAAGCCACCCCAAAATCAATGATCACTTTTATCTTTTTTTATTTTTGGTGGTACGTGCCCCTAGCAGAAATCGAACCTGGGACTCTCTGGTCTGCAGGCTGACGCTCAATTGCTGAGCCAAACTGGCCAGGGCTCACTTTTATCAATGAAAGTTTTCTAATTAATCTCACTGAATTTAACCTATTCACTATCACTATTTCTTTGGATACATATTATGACCCTCACATATTAAAACAAATTCAAGCCCTGGCCGGTTTGGCTCAGCGGTTAGAGTGTCGGCCTGCGGTCCAGAGACCTGGGTTCGGTTACCACTAAGGGCACGTACCTCGGTTGCAGTTTGTCCCCAGCCCTGGTTGGGCCCTGTGGGAGGCAGCCACTCCATGTGTCCCTTTCATGTCGATGTTTCGCTCTCTCACTCTCTCTCTCTCTCTCTTCCTCTCTCTCCTTCCCACTCTATATGAACAAAAACTGGAAAAATGTCCTCGGGTGAGGATAAAAAATAAAAAAATAAAACAAATTCGAATAGCTAGTCAAGTCAATTACCTTTTTAAAAAATAAAAATTCTAGTTACAAAAACATTTGAATACAATCTTAAAAGATAAAAAGTTCAACAATACAAAATTCCCCTTCCAATCATCTGCATATTCTCTTTCAATAGCAACCACTGTATTAAGCTTCCAGATCATTTCTGTGTGTCTGAATACGTACATATACAGAGAGATACTTGGTTTTATGCTGGTGTGAATCTACCTTAATCTTAACTTAAATAACAGTTTAAATGGACCACAGTTTAGTTATTTCCTTGTGTCAATGGTTTTCAATTGGGAATAATTTTGCCCTTCCAAGGACAATTTGTCAATGCCTGAAGGCATTTTACCTGGTCACAATTGGGAAAGGAGAGGTTACTACTACCGTCTAATGGGTAAGAGGCCAGGGATGCTAATAAATATCCTTCAGGGCATAGGGACCCCCCCCCCCACTCCAACACAAAGACATGGAATATTTGCCTCAAAATGTCTACAATTCCAAGACTAAGAAATTCCTGGACTCTGGCATATTTTCAGACACAATTCAATTTCTCTAACAGGTTTCAAAAAAGATAATACTGCATTATGTACCAAGAATACAGAGGTGGTTTTGTGTAAAGGCCCTACTATCATGCAGAAAATATAAGCCTGATACAATCCATGGCTTCATTTCAGAAGCAAGTCCTTGACTTTGCTTGTTATTTGACAGAGTACAGTAGCAGAATACAAAACGAACATAAAAACAGCAATTGCATCTTTAAATTTCTTTTTCTTTATTGATTTTAGAGAGAGAGAGAGAGAGAGAGAGGGAGAGAGAGAGAGACAGAAACATCGATGAGAGAGAACATCGATTGGCTGCCTCCTGCATGACCACACTGGGGATCAGGCCTACAACCTGGGCATGTGCCCTGACCAGGAATCAAACTGGTGACCTTTTGATGCATGGGTCAATGCTCGACCACTGAACCACATCAGCTGGGCAGCAATTGCCTTTATATAGAGCACTTCATAAACAACTATTTAGAAGATGGAATGTAAAAGATGACCCTGGTTTACACCAACAATAAAAAAAGAAAATACTTAAGCCATAAATTGAAAAAAAACACACAAACCTTCTGAGAAACTTCAAAACATTACGAATGAGCCCTGGCCCATTTGGCTCAGCAGTTAGAGCATCAGCCCTCGGACCAAAGAGTCATGGGCTCAATTCCGGTCAAAGACATTTACCTTGGCTGTGGTCCGGTCCCAGTCCTGGTCAGGGTCCTGTGGGATGCAACCAGTCGGTGTGTGTCTCTCACCTCTCACCTTTCTCTTTCCCTCCCTCCCTCCCATTCTATCTGAAGATACAGAAACAAATTCAAATAACAGAAAAAGCCAATTTGTCCTTGGATAGAAAGACTCAATATAAAGACAGCAATTCTCCCCTAAGGTAATTTATAAAAATTTAATGTCATTCTAATAAAAATGCCAACTGTCAAATCGCTATGTTGAACTGCCTTGAAATGATTAGCATTTTATTTTAGTTTTGGTTGCCTTTCTTGCACAAAATATACTTCATGACACCAAAATAGTTTGACAAGATACAGTTTTTCTTCACAGAAATATTCTAGCTAATACATGAAGGATGACACAGGCTGTCACCATGTTGCAATTCCATGAAATAATTACTCTAAGGCTAGATAGTGATTGTCAATGGCTGCTAAAACTAACAGGAGAGCTGGTAGGAAAAGTTTGGTCAAGTTACTCCTACCATCACAAAAAAGAGATGACAAGACATTACGTGACTCCTAATAAAAATACACACATTATCTATGAAACAGCCCACACCACATTAAGTTTTAAAAAATACAACCTAATCTTATCAAGCCTGTCTCATCTAACATCAGTTTATAAGGATTACAGGGGACAGAGGACCACTTTAAACACCACCACAGAGAGGCAATCCACAAAATTCAGATGGTGGAAAAGAATACAGGACAAAATAAGCTGGATTTAAATAAGATGTGAAGGGAAAACGCTAAGGAGAAAACAATAAATTAAGAGACTTATTAAGAGAGCTATTATCAATCAAATGAAAAGCATGGACTCTGGATTATGGCTCAACAAGTCAACTATTAAAAAAATATATGACAATAAGGAAAATTTGTACTCTGAATCTTTGAAGAGCAAGGAATAATTGTTGGTATTTTCAGGTGTAAATAATGGTTCTCTTAACTATGATTTCAAAAAAGAGTACA